CATCCTGGATTTCCCTGGCCTGCTGTGATCCAGCAACCAGTCTGAACATTCACTGGATCAGGCTGTCTATAAACGCTTTGGAAGCCAGTCCTCTCTAGTGTCCATTTTGTCCTAAAGTACTTGCCTTTAGTCTAACAAATGTTATGAAGCACACGTGCCACAGTAAAGCAGACTGCCTTGGCCACAATGGCATCCAACCAGGTGTATAGGTTTTGCCAGCGAGTCTTCAGCCACCCAAAGGCACACTGCACTACCATCCTGCAGCTGCTTAGTTTGTAGCTGAATTCCCATTCTGCCAGGCTGATGATGTCAGGGTAGGGTTTCATTAGCCAGGGTGCCGTCTCAATGTCCTTAGCACCCTGGTGTCATGAACCTTCCCTGCGTGTCCAATGTTAGTGATTATGAACCTGCCTTTGAGGTCCACTAGGCCTTCAAGACCGAGTGAATAATACCATTTCCGACTGATGTACTCACTCACTACTTGCAGGGGTCAAAGTATGGAATGTGGGTGCCACTGATGGCCCCACACCATTCGGAAATCCCATTTTCTGGAACCCAGCAATAATTTCCAGAACTTTTGTGATGGCGACCACCCATGGGTAGATGGGAGTGTTGTTAGTTTTGCAAACCGGCACCACAATGGGCCCAACAGTGGAATTCCCCACCCAAAAGTGGTTTGTGATTGAAATATAGCTGTCCAGCATTGCCAGCTTCTGGAGGGCAATAGCCACCCACTTCTACACCATTACGGGTCTCCAGAACCAAGTGTTTTGCCAATGTAGGGTAGAAGCCAACTTCTTTCAGAGCTCCAGGAACATCTGCTTCCTCAGTCTGAGGCTCTGCAGCCACAGCTCATCATCCCAGGTTTCCAAGACAATATGATCCCACCACACTGTGCTGATCCTCCTGGTCCAGAAGCAGCAGTCCAGTCATAGATATACAGTCACAACACCAGCAACCTCCTGCGTTTCTCTGTCATATAGCATCAGTGGATCAGTCACGGTCTCAGTCTCTCACCTTTGGCTTGTGAGAAAGGTTTGAGGCTATTCAACCGAGGTTCTCGCAGGTCATGTACTGCAACACAGACACATTTGTCCTGCAAGAAGGAGCAGTGGCAGAACCACATCATCAGTCACTTGCTCCATGTCTTCCACCAAGATGGGCGGGGAGGGAAGGAGAGAGAGAGAGAGAGAATTTTCTACAGCCTTAGCTACAAGTCATATGGCTTTTAGCTCATGCAGTAAGCGCCAGAGGTCCCAGGTTTCATCCCACCCACCCGCCTGCAACTGGGGTCTGTTGGTTACACTTTCTCCCTTTTTTCCCCCCCTGTACTGGTTCCTGATCTTAATAATGCAGACTATGAGCTAGCATGGCAGACTGGACTACATAGTGAGGAGAATGAGAAACTCTAGTCACTCGTGAGATTTTCCAGTCACTCTCTTTTGGTTCTCCTCCAGTGCAGCCAATAAAATCTTGGAATGAAGTGAATGACGATACACACACAAAAAAAAATGGGGAAAAGCTGCCTCATTTCCCAAGCGGAGTTCCTCCTGTGCATCAAATGAGGCAGGAGTCCTGTTGAAAAAAGTGCAATGTGACCATGTAAGTAGAGACTGTATCACAATTATGGCTGAGCAAATAATTGATTTTTTTCAGTTCGGTGGCTAAACCGAAAAACCTGAAAGAAAATTCACTGTTTCAAACCAAAACAAAAAACAGAAAAAAAATGTTTGGGTCAAAATGAAATGCCAAAATGGTTCAATTTGATATTTTTTGGAAATAAACTGTTTCAACATTGGGGGGAGAGGGGGCCGGAATCAAGATTGTTCTTTTTTCCCAATGAAACAATTCACACAATTCAATTCAAGTTCATGATTAGTTTTGGTGTCCTGAAAAATACATTTTTGATGAATTTACTATTTGCCACAAAATTTTTGCCCAAGATAGATATGCACAAAACAACCTTTCGTCTAGCATTTTCTAACTTGAGAGCTTGACTTTTCAACTGTAACACTGTTCTCTCACTGTAGGTTTCATGCAGAATAGCATATAAACTAAGGAAATTACTTCCTGCAGTAAGTATAGGGAAATAGCATGTGTCATATTCTAGGGTGGTAACTAGATAACCATCAGCTTTTTAGTGGTGACAACAGTAGTATTTTCATTATGAAGATCAACCATGCCTTCAAGGACATTTGCTTTACATTTAAATAAGTTTTGTTTCACAGAAATTTCCCCATTCTCTCAGCTGTGTCAGGGAAGAAGCTAATTATATATAGCTGCTCCTTTGTTGAGCCATTATTCATATTGATAGCTGCATCCCATCTTGCAACTATTTTCCCTGAGCAAGCTTCTGGAGTAGTAGGTCTTATCAACTTCCTAGAGGTTTTTGTTTGACTTTCACATCATCCTTCTCTGTGATGACCTATTCCTTGTCCCTCATTCTCTCTTGCTCTTACTACATATAGTTTGATATGGAAAAGACCTTTTCTGTCTTCTAGTCCATCTCTCTAAGCCTGCATAAACTCCATCTCCACAATATAGCTTCTGGTTTTATTCACTCCAGGTTTGAAAACTTCATTCAGTTGCTAGACAATTGGTTTTTCAGAGCTTAGTTAAAAGTATATGTCCCTCGGATTAGACTAAACTCCTCAAGGCAGGGATGGCCTATGTCCATGTCTAGTGCAGTCTTAAACTCCTAGTTGCTACTAGGTACATTCCAGTTGCTCTGTTTTCCCTGTGAGAGTTTTAAATGTCCCTCCCCCTATTAAGCTTTTTAATTTTCTTCCTTTTACAGTGGATGCGTCACTTACTGCTGTCCTGAAGTATTGCTCCATCCTTGCGTATGACTTTCAGAGAACTCTAGTTACTCAGACTCTAGGTAAACTTCAACAAAGTAGTGCATTAAAGGACCTAAGATTGTAAAGTCAAATCTTCAAGTTAGGAAATGCCCAACTCAAGGATGCTTAGCCTTCCTGCAATGCCAATGGTAGACTTTTGCTGTCGTATTTAGAGGTAGTTACTTAGCCACTCACAAAGAGATGCTGTTACATTCATAATGGTTAGGTTACTTCTCCAAGATGCACCTAGCTAGCTTCTCTTCCCCCCCCCCCCACTCCCAACCTGGTTAAACCTTATGTCACATGCCACAATAGTGATGACCCCACCCAGTTTGGTCCCATTTGATACTTTAGTTCTTTGCCATAAGAGGACACCTGAATTCCAACAGCTGCAGTTGCTTAGGTAGCAGGCAAGAAGCTGTGTATGTACAAGAAAGCTTCCCTCATTCATCTTTTATAAGTTCCTCAGCTAGGAAAGATGTTACCTCCTGCTGCAAAGCAGCCAAGATATTGATTTCTCTGCTTACTGGAGTGTGAAACTAGGGGTGAGAGGGAGTTCTATGGGGTAGTGGTGTTGTTCAGGCCCCCCATGAGGGCTTAAAGTATTAATCTACTTCAGAACTATGTTTGCTCTTGCTGTATGGGAAACAAGCACCTTGGTGAGAGCCAACCGTCTTCTTTTAGCTCCGTTGACTTGAAGAGGTGAAAGAGGGACCCAGCCTAGAAAACACAGCTGTGGAGTGGTGGCAGCAGGCTCTAGCTCAGTCACTCCCCTAGTAGATACTGCTCTAGCCCTGCTGTGTTATACCCTGTGCAGAAGCAACACATGCTTGTCAACCTTAGGGTTGACACTTACCATTCAGTGCTGACTAAGACACTCCACCCTGTGTTCAATAAGCACATGGCTCAGGAGACCCCAAGAGTGGTGTTGATGCAGACAGAGCACTTCCCTGGAGAGGAAAGCTTGTGTAGTTTTGTTTCTTCCTGCACCTCTAAGACCATGTAAGGATACAAGCTGCACTTTTGCTGCTACATGCACACATTTTAGGAGGTAGGAATAGGAGCCAGGAGGTGCCAGTGCCCATCCTTAAGCACAGTTAGTTCATCCTGATTCAGCAAGGACAAAAGTCACTCCCCTGCTCCTGCCAGCTGTATGGTGAGTGTTAGAGGTAGACTGCAACCTCTGCAAAGTTCCACACTTTAGACCTCCCCTCCCATGTTCACCCAGCCTGAGTAACAAGCAAGGAAGGTCTAACAAAGGAGCAGGGCACCTGCTCCCAGCTTAAGATAGGGTTAAGGGGAACAGTTAGTGAGACATGGAGACCACTCATGCATCAAAGCACATGTTTAGTCTCAACAATAAAATGGTTTTCCAGTAGAGATCTTAGTCACATCTTTTCACATACAGGCAGCTTTTACATTTTGGACAACCACACAGCACCAGCTTTGCTTCTTTGTTAGAGTTAAATGCATAGAACTGTTACAATACAAGCAGTTTATTGCTTAGAGTATAGGGGAGACTGGATATCAGTATCTCAGGGTCTAGCCAACCACCTGCTACACTAGGAAGAAATCCTCTAGAAAGTTTTGCTCTAGACACCTGCATAACTGGTGTGTTGGTTCTATTTTTATGGCCTACTAATTCAAGGTTTACACCCTCCATGTCCAGGAAAATTGTACTAGGCTGTGAAATGATCTAGAAAATGCTAGAAGCACCACTGCCTAGGTTAGGTCTCCTAGTACTCTATTCCTTCCCACACAGCTTCAATTAAGTGAATAGCAATACAATACAATACATGACTGATAGATGAGAACTACATGTTTGATATGTATGATTTGCATGGCAAACCACCTTAAGGTCTCAAGACTAACACTAAGGGATGTTCCAGCTTAAGGGGTATTATCTAACCCATGGTGTTGCCTAAGTGTGGCTAGGGAATGTAGTTCAGAGCCCACACAGCTCATCAATACCACTTCAGTTGATTTCCTGCAAGATTATGCTAGCACTAGGATTCTCTAGCAGGCTTGGATAGGTGGACTTTCAGCCTCCTCTCAGAGGAGAGCTGCAATTCTCTAGGTTACCAGGTTATTCTTCCCCATCAGCTGCCTTATGACTAGAAAAGGAATGCTTGTGTTTGGCAAGGATGCTAGCAGGGTTCTCTAGTCTGTCCCCACCCTACGATCTTCCTGGTGCTGCAATTCTGCAGAGGTTCTGCCACAGGAGGTAAAGGGTCCTACTAGCCAGGAAAGGGGAGCATTATGCACCACATATTCCAACAGTTCATCCACATATTCCTGGGCCTTGAGCAGCTTCTGCTTGCTGCAGGTCAGGATACTGGTGGACAGGCCCTGGAAGGAGCTGGCATTGGAGCAGACAGCATGGACCTCTTGCAGATTGTGATGAGCCTGCTGCATCTTGTGCTGAATGCTGGTAGGAAGGCCTTGGATGATAATGACTAGGTTCAGGCACATGGTCTGCAGCTGCTGGGTGATTCTCCAAGACATGACCAGAACCAGGGTATCCACCTGCTGGGGTAAAGCAAGTCAGTGAGTGAGTATTTGAGAATATATGAATAGGCAGGATAGAGCACCACCACTGCCGACATGAGTTAGTATCCAAGTACCTCTGGCTGTGCAGATCCCTTGTCAATTACCGCAAGCTCCTTCTTAGTCCACTCCAGCCACAACTGGTGCAGCTTCTGCTGACCCTTGTGTAGTTTCTTACCCACACTCTGCTTGACATTCTGAATCTGAAGTGGGGACAAGAACAAGGTGTTTTCAAACTTTACTGTAGGAGGACCAGCCTATGAAGCAAAGGGTTCCAGCACAGACAGACCAACCATCTGCTGGACAGAAGTGTCAGACAAGTCTCCCATGGATATCAGAGATGATTGCAGTCATGTAGGTTAAGCCAGAATATTTTAGAGGAAAGTTTTATGTGGTTTGCCCATTGGGGCAGGGTTGTCCCCAAAAGCTACTAGCACAGACTAAAGACTGCCTACCAGGTCAATGGTGTGCTGGATCTGAGAGAGGTTCTCCTGCATGCTCTGATGAAGCAGTCTCACTTTGCCCATGGACTGCAGGTAAGCACACTGGCGGAGTTCAGGGGACAGAGACCCCAGACGCACAAAGTACTTGTGCTGCTGTTCCACAGAAGCCATCTCAAACCCCTTCACAGAGGCTGCTAATTTAGCTAAGGGAGAGAAGGATACACAATTTAGGCATCCCTGCCAGTGCAGAGACTTCAGTCAGCAAGACCATGGCTATTTCAGAGCCCTCATTAACATCTGAGTCAACAGCCTTTTCCCTTTAGAAAAAGATCACCAGTATCTTCACCTCCATGTTCCTCTATCAGCTCCCTGGAAGGTAGGTGTTCCCCATCTAAGTGGTATTTGCCACTTGCTTGGGAGCCTCCCCCGGCCTTACTACATTCCATTTCCATTGTCATGTAGGTTGCCCAGAAGAGAGACTGACTGGAGATTCAAGGAATTACAGTTACCATTATCTACATTTGTTTCCACAGCAGTCTATGGGAATCATTCCTCTGGGTATATATCTAAGTAGTGTTTTAGCAGCCCTTTAGTCAGAGTAATAGGATTGAGACCTAGATCATTGGCACACGAGAGAAAACTAGTGCAAGGGGAGTCCAAGACTTAAGCTTTGGTTTGGGAAGGCCAACTGCTATGGTGTACTAGTGTCATCCAGGTATTTCCCCAACCTAGTTCATCATCTGTGATGGGGAGGGAGTGATCCACCAGGTCTGCTGTTTTCCCCTGCACAGCTTCTGCTCCACTCACAGCCACAGGCCCCAGTCTGGAGCCCATGACTGTGCTCATGCTGCTGGTTACTGCTGATTTGGCTGCCTGCATGGTCTTGTCCAGCACCTCAGTCACTTTGCTGTTCATGGCATCCCTGGTACCTGTCACCAACTCTTTGGCATCCAAAAGAACCTAGAAAAGGTCAAAGGTCATCACTTCATGCTACTTCACATTCATGACTGTTTCAAGGTGGGAACTAAAGTTACAGGATAGAAGCAGACGTGACCCCTCAAGGGATGCTTGCAGAGAGGACTCCATGTCAGTGGTGTAGACACCACTAAACTGGTCAGAAGGCCACAGCAGGGGTCAGAAGTGCACAGCCTTGCTGGAGAGTCAGTCTACTCTAGTTAGTGGTCTCACTTTAAGCATCCAAGTTGGGAAGCTTTGGCACAAGGTTTAGCTAGCTACAGCAGTGAGGAAGTGTCAGTTCCCACCATACCCAGTCTTGAAACTCAAGGGATTGACAGCATTTAGCTAGAAGCTAGATAGAAATATTTATCAGACCATGGCCCGCCCTCCCATCTAGGGCCTCAAAGAGCTAGTTACCTTATCAGTCAGCTGTTGAAGGATTGGCAGTTTCTCCTCCAGCTTTTCCAGTCCTTTGCAGGCAAATTCATTTGCAGTTGCAACTGTAAACGTTGACACTAAGAATTAAGTTTCCCAAATCTTTGTTTAAAAAAAAGGAACTCTAGTAGCTGATGGTCCTTCCTGCTCTTTGATTTTCTGGTTCTGCAATATCCTTGCCATAGGCCAAGACACAAAGGCACTTTCTTGCATGTTAATATAGTGTTTGCCTATAGCATATTGTGGGAAGTGTTTCTGAGTAGAGAGGGTCTCACTGAAGGAGACTTCCCCTTTTCAATTAGATTTCACGGGCAAGTTTCATTGATAGGGTTGTTAACCTACCCCAGGAAAAACCTTAACGTGGCATCTCCTTGCATGTTATGGGAGCCTTTTATTATAACCCAGTGCCAATACCACATGTAATTACTCAGTGGAAACATCTCCAGACAAGAGACTCAGAGCATAAAGCAAGACCTCTGTTGTGACCTCATTCTTTCCCCAGATGCAGCACTTGTTAATGCTTACTATTAGCAAGTGTTACTGAGGTTGTAATTGAGGTTTTGCATTGTACCATGAGGGAGATTACTGTGTAGTACATTTCCTTATCTGTCAAAGGCAGAAGGACACTCGGATGCTGCCAAGGGAATTTACCCAACCTTAATCCCTTAAGACAGTTTGCTTACAGTTTGTTTAATATAGAAAGTGTAGGAGGGTTCTAGAGACATGGATGCCTCCCATCTTCCTCTGGCATGTGGGGATATGCAGGGAACCCAGCTGTTCCATCTTTAGGCTTTAACACCATTGGTGTCTGAAAACCAAGAGCAGGGGGAAAACCTTGCAGATGCTGCATCTGGTCTGTTGGGGCAGCCACAGCTCCTCAGAGTCAATGTGCAATCTTCAAAGGCTAGAGATCTGCCAGTGCTGGAGCCCAGAGCTTCTCACCCAATAACCCTAGATTTCACTCCAGGGCTAAGCAGTGGTTCTCAGCATACATTCTCATTTCACTTTCCTAATGAGGATAAGATACAGGGTGGCCACCTTCTGTGATGGAAGCTGCTGACTGATATCCAATTGGAGACAGAGCTACCTGTGAGAGAGACAGGTCTCAAGGATATTATGGGAAATTGCCCTTATTGTATTAAGTTTATATGCTATTGTGGGCCAAGATTGCACCTAACCTCTCTAGGGGGAAGATGTAAAACCTGGGAGTTCAAGGGGCTATATTGAGAGTAGTCTGGACTTGGCTGGCATTCTGGGACAAGTGTTAAGTAGATTTCCTGGGGAAATCTCTAGGTGAAGTCAGTCACAGCTGGGGAATTTGCATTATGCAAGAATCCACCACTTTGGAGCTACACCTGTCTGCTGATTGACATTCTGTAACAGGTAACATTAGAAGCTCAAGCTTACAAATAGCTGCTCTGCTCCACCTTTGTTCTGGTTTGGGATCTGAGATGAACTTACAGCCACAGAGAAACCTACCTGTGGTGTTTTGAGGACTAAGAAGCTATCAGAGCCCTAAGATGGAGTGGAGGGTGACCTCTGGTAAGCTTGTAGTAGGTGTAGATTCTTTTATTGTTTAATGGTTTTTGCTCTAATGCATTCTTTATTGAGGAAGGGGTCCTACTGCTGTAAGAGTGACCAGGCATCTGGTTTTCAACCAGAACACAGTCAAAAAGGGACCCTGGCAGCCCCGGTCAGCACCACTGACCAGGTGGTTAAAGTCCATTTGGCAGCACAGCAGGGCTAAGACAGGCTCTCTGCCTGCCCTGGCTCTGCATGGCTCTTGGTAGTGGCTGGCATGTCCCTGAGGCCCCTAGGCACAGCCAGGGAGGCTCTGCATGCTGCCCCTGCCCCAGCACTGGCTCTGCAGCTCCCATTGGCTGCAGTTCCTAGCCAATGGGAACTGCAGGGGCAGGGCCTGCTGGTGCAGGCAGCGCATGGAGCCGCCTGACCATTCCTCTGCCTAGGGGCTGCAGGAACATGCTAGCCACTTCGGAGAGCCACTTGAATTAAGTGCCACCCAGAGCCTGCACCCCAAACTCCCTGCCCCAGCCCTGAGCCCCCTGCTGTACCCTTATTCCCTCCCAGAGCCTGCAACCCCTCCTGCATTCCAAACCCCTCAGCCCCACCCCCTAGCCTGGAGCAGCCTCCTGCACCCCAAACCCCTCATCCCTGGCCCCACCCTAGAACCCATACCCCCAGCTGGAGCCCTTGCCCCTTCCTGCATCCCAACCCCCTGCCCTGAGCCCCCTCCTGCACCCCAAACCCTCACCCCTGGCCGCATCCCAGGTTGGGGGAGAGCAAGGAGGGCACCTCAGGGAAGAGGCAGGGGTATTAGTTTGGTGTTCTGTAATCAGAAAGTTGGCAGCCCTAACTGTTGCCTCAGGAGGCAGTCGTTAGCCATACCATTTTACAATGGAATTAACGGAGAGGCTGCACCGAGCTAGTGGTGGGAGTAGAATGTAGTAGGGCAGGGTCAAACTGTTTATGGGATGGGGGGGGAAATCAGGGTATTGATTGCAGGGGATTGTGAAGTGTGCGCATTCTGCATAAAGATTATCCCTTTGTCAAAAACCCAGCCTCCCTAAAAAATAGAACTTTTGATTAAAGTGGTCTTTTTTAAAGCAAAAACTGAAAGCTAAGGTGTGATGAAATGAAGTCTATTGTAACTTTCTGTGGAGGAAAATACTTGATCTCTAGAAAAGAGCTGTCTAATATGGCAGACCCCATTCCCATCCACATCTGTTACACTATGTCCTCCAACCACTAGAGGACACTCCCCTGCAAGGTTAAAATAGAATCCAGGAGGCCAAATCCCAGCATTAGTATTGTCTGGACAATGCTTACTATTAGCAAGTGTTACTGAGCTCCCTGGTAAAGTGTGCCACATCCCCCTCCAGTGGAGTTCCCAGAGCAGAACAATTACTCATCTAGCATACGTGGCAGGAGTGTGGGCTGAAGGTTCAAACCCTGCTGATTTCCCCCTCCTCCATGGGTTATCTGAAGGATTGCCCACGGTAGAATTCTTTAGCCTTTGTGAATGGTTCAAGTCACCCAGTGACGTTTCCTTGGGCAGTTTATACTAAAACCCAAGCTCAAGCATGTTTCAAGTTGCACTGCATTTAAGTCTGTGGTCACAGTGGCAAGAGTTTTGTTTGAGTGGCAAGGTAGCCCTTGCCCTTTTAACCCATTAACCAAGGAATAGTTAGTAGAGAAACTCCAGGTTGATTCACACATTTGAGACAACACTTTCTCCACACAATGTTGAAGCCAGCTTTTGCCAGCTCAATCCAATCTTGACAGTGCCTGTAATTCATGTTCGTTAGCCATTTTGGCCATTTTCTTACCAGTTACTTTATGTTCTACATGAGACATTGTCCCTGCAAAGTTAAGGCTTTTGTCACCAAGCATCTTAAGGGTACTTGTGTGATCAGACATCACCTACCCCTATTACTGACACTTGTTGCACAGCTGTTTGGCAGTTACTTTTCAGCAGTGATCTGGGTTGGAGGTCTGAGTTACTCAGTGAGATTTTAGTACTCTGAATATGGTAGGGGCTGAGTCTCTTAGCAAGTACAAACTTGCTCTTGCTAAGAAGGATCAAGCTTTTGTATAGTGGGGAGAGGTCACCCAATGCAATGAGAGGTTAGTTGTGCACATGGCCCCTTCCAATCACCTGTTCCTCAACCACACATTCAAAGAGAATTGCATGTATAGGTACAGACACTACACCAGTCAAACCCAATAATGGTAAGTCTCCATTAGAGAGGCATTGTTCAGATGCTGAAAGAAACTCTGACCTGCCCTGAGTCACTCAGCTAGATGGAGGAGAGTGGCTTCCACCTAGGAGATGAGCCAGCATGAGGTTCTCATGTGGGATTTTACACAACTGAAGCCTGTGTGATCGCTTTGAGACCCCCCCACCCACCCAAATACATCTTTAGGCCATGGTTTACTCACTCTGAGGTTCAAGTTTAGTCAGAACCGGCTGTGCATAGTTGATTGTAGCTTCAGTCATAGTCTTCACTCCTTTAGCTGCCACATCACACAGAGATCTGATGTGAGGGTGGCTCTCTTTAGTGGAGATGTAGACCATGGAAACCAGATCACAGGCAGAGCTGACCAAAGGCAAGTTGGCCACCCTGCTCACCACATTCTGGCAAAGATAGAGAAGTCACATCAAGAAGAGATCTGCTGTGGAATGAAGGGAGGTTTGACTGTTTTCCCCGCACTTAACACATTAGTCAAAGAATGAGAAACTCCCAGTCCTGTATAGACTGGAAGGTTAAGTGACCCTCCAGCCAATTATGGCTTTTGTATTTGATGTATTTAACTATTCAGTAAGGGAATGTCCTGGTCTACAGCTGTGGGATTTGAATCTCTCAGAATTTCAGCTGGAATTAGACCACACGTGCTTCATGGAAATACAGCAGTGATTTCAGTCACCAGTTACCTCTCCCAGGTTTGGCAGCATTATTCATGACTAAGCAAGTTTTACAAGGCCCTAGACCCTTGGAGAGCCTGTGCTTAAAGAGCCTGAAATGTGCTGCTGCAGATTTGTCTGGTGTCTGTTAGTGGCCAGATTGCTGCAGGGTGGCATAAAACATGGGCTACCAACCTGCTGTGCATGTTCCCTGCTCTCTGGGGTCTCAACAACAGGAGTTTGGCTTTTGTTTTCAGACATTGTCTAGTCAGACCTCTAAAGAGGAGAGAGATAGAATAGTTACAAGTCAAAGCTTTGTCCCTTCCCTAGGCAGTATTAGTGCATAGCTATGAAAATGGAGCCCAGTATGAAGACAATATGCTCTCCTCTTCACTTTGCCCAGTGGAGAGCACAAAAGTCTGACCTTCAAGTAAAATTCATCCATTTTAGATTAAATACAAGTGCACTTACCCAAAGGTCTGGCTATCTTACAGTAATATAAGTCGCATTACTAGGCAATCAGTATATTCCAAAAGTGCTCAAGATCAGCTGCTGGAGGAACCAATCAGCCATAGAACCTTCAGCAGTCTTGACTTCCCCACCCTACTCTCAAACAGTTATGTGATTGAGAGTAGTTTGACTTCCCCTCCCTAGTTTCAGGGTTAAGGGCTCTACTGATATAAAAAGGAGGCAGCTGGTTTATCATAGGAAACCTAGTAGCCCTCCTGAGCAGATATATGGCACTCCGAGTAAGAAACTCTCAGGCAGAGCCCTAGCCCCTTACAAGGTTTAGGCTAGTAAGTAACATTCACAGGACACTCCCACTAAGAGTTATGAGGGCACTAGAATCCAAGCTTGATAAGAACTACTGTGCAAAGGTCAACAGCTCTTCCCTCACCACCAGTTAGAGTTTCCAGAACTTGAGGCCAAGTTGATGTGGCAAGACAGACAAAACAATCCACAGCAATGAACTATTGCCTGAAGCCACCTTCACACCTCAAGTGATATAGGAGGGTTTCCTTCTTATCTGAAGGATTAGTGGGTTTTTTAGATTAGGCCTCCTAATGCAAGTGAGATTAGGCATGGTTTTCCTGAACTGGGCAGTACTGCTATACAAGAGATCTGAGAAACACAAGCCAAACCAGGGGAATTTGGGGAGATGAAAGCTACCCTTCTCAAGGCCTTCAACTAGTAGGCTTTGCCACTATTTACTTTAACAATTCCAAGTAACTATTTGAACAGAAATAAGAACAAACCTCTTACAATAAAGCAATCAGTTTAGAATAAAAAGTAATTTCCATACCACTTCTAAACAACTTTGCCTCAGATTTAAAGAAGCAAAAGAAAACCTCTTACCTAATAGATTAAAAGTTGCCTCTACCCAACAGGTTCAACATCATAGAAGCCAGACCAGCTTCTGCCTTTATATATGGGCAAGTGATGTCATCATGGGAGGGGAATCAAAGGACTGACAGCTTGGGGCAGCAATGAGAATGAACCAGACTGTGCCTTGACCAATGAGGGATGGAATAAGGATGAGCAATTGGGAAAGAAAGAGAGAGATACAGACTTCAATTAAGTTGCAATTGTTCATTCACCTCATGCAATTCAAGCTGATTCTTCTAGTTCTTGGAGCCTAATGAGCCAATGGATTTTAAAAATACACAGAGGGCTCACCCAACATGTTTATAGTAATTGCTTTTGGGTGGCAATGTTACAAGTAGTAAAGCCATGGCTGAGTTAAGGAGCTTGCTCCTCCTGATTGCCAATAAAACTTTTGCACTCCCCCTCTCCCTCTTGTAGAATGCCACTTTTCCCAGATTTTTCTTAGAGCATGTTTTAAATGTTGTTGGTATTATCGACTTGCCTCTAAGGTCATGCTGGTATTGTACTGATTAACTGTACTCAGATGGAGAGAACACATTTTTTTTTTCCAAAACCTTTAAGACATTACCTAGACTAACTTTCTTGTGCATATTAATTTCATGATTGTAAGATCCAACCTCTCAGGACTTTCCAGAGCTGGAAATAAAAACTGTCCCATTTAGCAGGGGTAGATTCCCAGCTTTCCTGTGGTGTGAGTGTGAGGGAAGAGGCGCTTCTATGAATACTTCTATGTAATAATGGTATGAATATTGTAAGTGACCTGATCAGTAAGGTAAAGTTACTGTATAACAATGGTAGGTTATTGGAATTTCTGATATGATTGTATCTAACTTAACAGGGGACAAAGAGGAGAGCAACACAATACATGTAGACAAGGCCACCCCCCCACACACTAGGAAGACAATGGAGCAAGCTGCTAGATTCAAAGATCCTGTCTCCCACAAGTTGCAGGCTTTGTTTCGCCAAAGTTAGAGACTGGAGAGTCAAAAAAAAAATTAAAATCCTTTCTTAGGGGAGGGACACTTGTCAGAATCTGACTCCAGGGAGACAGGTGGACACAGGGAGGGAGTCTAAGCAGTAGGGCCGTCCTAGATCCAGGGAATGATATGGCCTTAAGGAAAAAGTAGACTAGTCTGTTCTATTGTTTTTAAGATCTGTTTGCACTGAAAGCTTTTGTTCTAAGCAAATAATACTTTGCTCTGGGGAGGCTGCTTGGTCATTGTTTTACCACTATCATTGCTCCCACAATGAAAAGGAACAGAACTGCAGATACAGAACACAAGTCAGGCCTGCTGAGGCATAGGCACTGGAACAATTTTTTATAGTAGGGGTGCTGAAAGCCATTAAACAAAACTGTAAACCCTGTAAATGATAGAAACCACTTCAAACCAGGGGATGCTGCCACACCCCCAGCATCCCTAGTTCCATCACTTCCGTGCTAAGGTAATCACAATTAGCACCTGGGAACTGCAATCCACGGTTCAGTCTGAGAGTAGGAGAACCACATGATCCATCCCGAGTGAGGTGACAGCTCGTGGCCTGGAGGGGGTGCACTAAAATATACCAGGAGGGGTTGGAGGTGCTATTACAAATTAACCATTTTAACCCTGAGGAGAGGGGAAGGGAAATCATAAAGTGCTAAAATTTATCATTGGTCCAAGCCTGACTATTGCCTAGCCTGGGCCTTAGGTGAGTGTCATTGTTTATAGACTGCAGTATCTTTAGCTGGACACAGAAACGTTTAACATTAGAGATCCCAGTGTAGTGTGATAATAATGCAAATCTTACACCCACATAACCCCCCGACCCCCAGCACATTAAATTATTTTTCTGGCAACTGGCAAATCAGTAAAAAACCCAGCTAGGCCAGTCAAATACCAGCCAGGTTGTGACCCTACCCATGCAGCGGGCTCAGGGAGGGCACGCCACCTCCATCCCCTGACTCACCTCAGCCAGCCATCCAATCTGTCTAGGTTGGGAGAGCACAACCAAAAAATCTGGGGGTTGGAGGGGGCACATGAACCTGTGTGCCCCCATGTGCTGCCTCTGGTAGGGGGCACAAATATGCTGCTAAAATGCCTAGTGATGGTTTTGCCCCAGAGCCTCCATCCCCAGACTATTTACTGGGTCCCGACCGGTCATAAATACTTACAAATGGGTCCTGAGCCCAAAAAGGTTGAGAACCACTGCTATAAACAATGACAGTTTAGGCAATAACAGATCAAAACTGTTGATAATACAGCAGCTGTCTGCCCAACAACACACAAGCACACCGCACATATGTGTGAGAGAGGGTTTGAGTCATGAGAGAGTGAGGAGACGTGCAATGTTATCAATCTTATATGTGTTCTCTCTCTACATACTATACGTGGCTGTTGAAGGGGGGTTACGGAGTTGTCTTGTGATTGGGGGTTCTGGTTGCGACAGGCTTGCCTTGTGGGGGGGGTGTCAGTTTTTTGCATTTCAAAGGTGGTAACCCTACACATGGGGCTGGCCCCACCGAGCCCCGTCGACCCCCGCCGCACATGGCAGGCCCTAGCCACTTGGCATTGCCAGCCCAAGCCACCCCTGCAGCTTTGCATCCTGGGCAGCTGCCCCACCCTGGTTATGGCCCTGTCCTGGGGTGGTTTCGGTCGGATCCTGCCCCCAGGGCTTACCTGGACTCCTGTTATCTTGACGACTGGGCCTAACCTGAGTGGCGTTGGGACCCCAGAGGCTGCAGTGCCTAGAGCAGGGAGGCAAGCTCAGCCAGCCTTGTGGGACAGGAGCCACAGGAACTACCACATCACCCTTCGAAACATTCTGGTGACCAGTTTTGGGTCCTGACCCACTGGTTGAGAAGCCCTGCTGTATAGGATGAGTGGGAGAGTCAGGAGAGAATGCCACTTTTGTGGGAAAAGAATATTTTTCTGACAGGCTCAGGTTTCTTTAAGATGCAACTGTTTGAAGCTGCTCAGAGACCCAAAGTGTAGATGTAGTCCTACTGGAGACAGCTGAGGGCCCAATCCTTCAAATCGTTCCATGTGTCTAGCCCCTTGTATCCGCACCAAGCTCCATTGACTTCAGTGGACCCCACAAAGTTGCAGGAATATGCCCAAGCAGAATAGTTCATAGGATCAAGGCCTTAGTGGGCAGAGTACAGCAGTCTGCCTGCAATTAGACCTTCCTGGAAGTTGCACCCTACCAAGCAACAGCTGGTAGTCAGCACAAGCTTGTCCTGTGTGTACAGAGTAGTTAACTAGGATTGCCATTAAAAAATCAGCATTTAGCCAGTTACAGAGTATACGCTTGAGAGGAAGGATGATCTAAGTAGGTAGGGTGATAGTCTAGGGCTTGTGAGACCTGTGTTCAATTCCCTGCCCTAGACTTCTGTATTACCTTAGGCAAGTCCTGGCCCAGACCCTTGATGGTATTTAAGTGCCTCACTTCTATTGATATCAATGGAAATTAAAAGCCTAAGTACTTCTGAGGATCTGGGCCTTGGTGCCTTAGTTCCTCAAGTAGTATTTCCGTACCCCCTGGCAATGTCATGAGGCACTCAGATACTGTCATGAGGAGGGCTACATGGATACTACAGATACTAGCTGTGTGTCTCCAGCAGCCATTGCTGGTAACTGCAGGTGCATAATCACTTTTTAATGGCATTCGCCATATAAAGAGCTTTGTGCAATGGGCTTTCCTAGCTGACTATCTCGGGATTCTAAACGTGAGCTTCACAGAGTTCTTTATCTGTTTTGAAACTTGTCTGTGAGCTGGTAAAATGAGCCTGTTGCAATGAGCACAGCAATGCTGGAAAACGTCAGAATGAGTGGCACACAACCCCCATCATGGGGAGAATAAGCACAGTCTCATTCTAAAACCACCTTTTCTCTCCTTTGGAGCTTTTCTGCAAGACAATATTCCTTTGAGGATGGAATTTCCCACGGTTAGGCCCTGATCCTGCAACGAGCACCATGCCAGAGGATCCCTCTTCCCACAGAGTCCTACTCAGGTTAGGATCAGGGTCTATATCATTTTCCATCACTTATGACATTTTTTTATTTGTCATTGAAATGTCTT